TTAGCCTCCAGTCCCCTAATCATCTTTGTTGCTCTTCTCTGTACTCTTTCTAGAGTCTCAACATCTTTTTTACATCGTGGTGACCAAAACTGGATGCAGTATTCCAAGTGTGGCCTTACCAAGGCATTGTAAAGTGGTATTAATACTTCACGTGATCTTGATTCTATCCCTCTATTAATGTAGCCCAGCACTGTGTTGGCCTTTTTGGCAGCTGCAGCACACGGCTGGCTCATATTTAAGTGATTGTCCACTAGGACTCCGAGGTCCCTCTCACAGTTACTACTATTGAGCAAGGTACCCCCTATACTATACCTGTACATTTGGTTTTTCTTGCCTAAATGTAGAACCTTGCTTTTTTCACCATTGAATTTCATTTTGTTAGATAGTGCCCAGTGTTCAAGTCTGTCCAGGTACTTCTGTATCTTAAGCCTGTCTTCTGGAGTGTTGGCTATTCCTGCCAGCTTGGTGTCGTCTGCAAATTTGATGATTTCCCCATCTATCCCCTCGTCCAAATCGTTGATGAAGATGTTGAAGAGCACTGGGCCCAGAACAGAGCCCTGGGGCACCCCAAATTGAATTGAATTGAATCGAACGAATGAATTGAATTGAATGAATGACAAGATTTGATTTTTGAGTAACTCTCAACGGTTCCAATGATGAATCTGTCGACAGGGCGAGTTGCATCCACAGTATTTAATTTGTTTGAATAATATACTTACAGATAGACAAGTTCACTCCATATACAGTTACTTGGACTTTTTTTTTTTTAATACAGTTCATATCCCAATACATTAATACTTTTTTTTTCTTTAAATTATTTACACAGTACTTATGTACACGGTCTTTCTAAATTCAGTGCATTGTCAATAAGTTTTATACAATAATTTACAGAGCGAATATAGTTAAACAGTTTTAACTTAAAAGTGTTTTTCCTATTAAATTTAGGAATTAATTTAACCTTTTTTCTTAAAAAGAAATTAATCATTACAACCGTTGTAACAAAGCATGGCAGATTTTAAAGACGACGCGAGTTGATCATGCTGTGGTTGGGGACTTAAAACGAAACCGCTTCGAAAGAAAGGAAGAGGTGAGCGGAGGAAGAATCTTCAAAGAGAGATAGGGGTTGACGTCCCCTCCCGTTTTTAAAGTAGGGGTTTTCTCCATGCTCAGAGAGGTCAAGAAAATGGACATAGGGCAGGGGTAGGCAACCTTGGCTCTTTTATGACTCGTGGACTTCAACTCCCAGAATTCCTGAGCCGGCCTGGCTCAGCATGGAAACCTCTCCATTTCCCCTCAGCATGGCTGGCTCAGGAATTCTGGGAGTTGAAGTCCACGAGTCACAAAAGAGCCAAGGTTGCCTACCCCTGACATAGGAGATAATACGTTGTTTAAAATCTCTTCCCGCCTCCAGGATTTGGCTACCCCACTAGGGACATCACAGCTGATAGGCTTCAAATCTTGTCTTCAACAAGATGCTGGCTTTTGTTTTTTTTTGTTTTTTGTTTGGCAAAAGGGGAACGTTGCACTATTAATCACACAACCGAGATTGGTTTTCAGTAGCTATTCTGGACTACGCTTTCCTGAAGGCCTCATCCGCACAGTCAGGGATTATGGGAGTTTATAGGAGAGTATGGTGGCCTGTTTCTGCACGACAAGCTAAGAGACACTAGGCCTTTTTTTTTCTCCTTAGGGTGCACCACAACCTTCTGCCATTCTTAAAGCAGAAGACCTGGGTTTGAAATGACCCCCGTCTGCAACATTCATACCCGTGCGCACACTAACGGGAGTGACAAGGTGCCCCGCTCAGCAACCACTGGATGATGGATCCACGTCACTCGGGTGGGTGAGATCCTCAGTGCATGGCTGAGTTGCTCGGACACAAATAGTTGGTGTTTCAAAGCGATCAAAAGACTGAACAACTGTTAGCTCTTGTGTTCTCCAGCAGTGCTTCTCGGCCTCGGGCGACTTGAAGATGGGTGGACTTCAACTCCCAGAATCCCCCAGCCAGCCGGGAGTTGAAGTCCACCCATCTTCAAGTTGCTGAGAGGTAAACACCGTTCTATTAGCCTACCAAAGCACAATCTAAAATGTAAAAGTCTACCTAACACTGCAATCCTTCTCTTCTGTCTATATTTACCCTAAAAAAGAGACCTAATCCTCTTTTCTAACGGGAGGTTAGAGGAATGAAGCCACAATGCCCTGGAACTGCCAGGAAGTGGTACTAGGGGAAAAAGGGAGTTTTAAGAAGTCTTCTGTAAACACTGCAGTTGGAAGAAGACAGCCCGATGCAGACAAAAGCTAAGCCATTTTGCTTGGGGGTAGGGGAAGGAAACGAGGGAACAACCGCAGGGAAATTAGCTAAAAGAAATAAATGTGAATTTTTATTGGGTTCTCAGTAAGGGAAGGGTTGACAGGACCGGTTCAAAGAACAGCGGAGGGCGTTCTTTGTGTGTTCCTCTTTGTGTGTTCCTCTTCAAGGAGGCAGAATAAAAACCCTGCATACAGATAAGAAATCTAGCTTGTTAGGAGGCAAATTGTTTATTGACCTTCTCTCTGCTATATTAAAAAGTTTTATTTTGCACAGAAAAGTCACTTCTTCAATTAGATCCTTCTTCCCAACATTTTAGCAGCACGATCCCACTATAGGTCTCCCAATTGGTGACAAAACTCACCTTTGCTGCTCTTTTAAAATCTCATTGTATCACTAACAGCTGGTTCAAAGGCTTCATTTAGGAAGACAGGTGGATTTTATCCTAACCTCTGATTAACCTTATTTAATCATCTGATTGGGACTGGTGAGGAATAAGGGGGTCTGATTTAGGGCCTGGCTCAGTAAATGCCGATTCAGGAAGGATTTTCCATCAATTTCTCAACAGAGCTGGACTGAAAACGGGAACACCGCTGTGGCTCCCTCATTATCCTGCTCCCTCAATCCATTTCCATTCAGGAAGCTGGAAATGGCCACCAATTTAATTCCTTCCTTCATTTTTATTATTAAATTTATGCAGCCACCCATCTCACTGCTCTGACTCTGGCTGACCTACAAGATTTATCACAATGGAAGGGGAATCTCCATCAAGAAATGGTTAAAGTAAAGGCTACTCTCCCCCCCCCAAAAAAACCCCACAACATGCCTAAAATGGATTTGAAGTATAAATACTCCTTCTGGAGACAATGTTGAATGATCAAAAGCGCAGTCAATTGGATTGGCAAAATGGATACCTCTCTGTTGCCGACAGTCATCATTCAGATGTGTTATTTGGCTTTTTGAAAAAAAAATGAACGGAAAGGACACACACCCAGGCATACACACAGCTATCCCAAAAGCACTTGAAATGAACTCTGGTGTGTTTTTATTATTATTTTTTAAAGTGCAAATAAAAACAATCATGACTAGCCCTCCCTCCAATCAAGGAAGATCCTTCAAAAGGTCTGCCACAAATGTAGGACTGGTGTTAGAAGTATTGAAGAAGGGGACCATTGATCTTGCACTCCATCTCCATTGTGAGGGGCAGCTACTTGGGGGTCCAAAAAACCAAGATGGCAGCTGCCCCTGCCGTTCTGAAATCCCATCTCTTGCATACATGTGATACAAGATTTTTAAAAAAGGGTAGGGCTTGGATCAGTCACCGACACCATCTTGAACTTTTTGACCACTACCCCCCTTCAGGGACATCCTTGAGTATAGCCCTGCTTTGGGTACACATTTCTCATCAGCCATCACTGATACACTGTCGGCTCAAACACTCAACCAGGTTCTGTTATCTTTGGGATTTAAAGGCTGGGTTGAACTGCATTAGGTTGGATTGAGTTGAGTTGCATTGGGTTGGGTTGGGTTAAGTTGCTTTGAGTTGGGTTGAGTTGCATTGGGTTGAGTTGGTTTGGGTTGTATTGGTTTGGGTTGGGTTAAGTTGCTTTGAGTTGAGTTGGGTTGAGTTGCATTGGGTTGAGTTGGGTTGGGTTGCATTGGGTTGAGTTGGGTTGAGTTGCATTAGGCTGGATTGGGTTGAGTTACATTGGGTTGGATTGGGTTGAGATGCATTGGGTTGGGTTGGGTTAAGTTGCTTTGAGTTGGGTTGGGTTGAGTTGGATTGCATTGGGTTGAGTTACATTAGGTTGGATTGGGTTGAGTTGCATTGGGTTGGGTTGGGTTGCACTGAATTGGGGAATAGATTCCTGTTTTGATTATCCCAGTCTCAACAATGATCAGATCAATACACTAAAAAGTCAGGAGCTAGTTTCTTTTGAATGAAGGTTGTAAGCTGAGGAGACAGTGTAACCACAAAGAGAAAATATTTTCAGAACCAGGGCAGATTTCTTACCTGCCAAGTACCCTCTAGTAAACGGAGAAAACACTTGGTTCCTAGAACATCCCAATCCATCCAAAATGGAGATGAATACAAACAATTAGCCCACTCACTTCCCCCAGCAACAGCCTGGAACTGTCTCAGCTTCCAGTCTTTCGGCCATTTTAAGGACCAAAAGGCTGCTGGAGCTGCTCTGAATCTTCTCTGAAAGCCAAAAGGGTTGGAACAATTCCACAAGGTCAAAAAAAAAATAGGAAACTTTATTCTCAAGGCGACGGGAAGGGATGCTAATGAATACATCAACTGAGAAAGTGAACAGCAGGTTAAACAGGGGAAGTTTGGGGGGGGGGGACTTTCCTGCAGTTTGTGCCTGCCGTCTGTGTATGCCTCTTCTCCTCGCAGAAATGGAATAAAACTTCAGAAAAAGGAGGTAGAAATTTCATGTTGTCAGACAACACTACAAGTTAATCATCAGAAATCGGAAGAGAGCTTCCCCAAACGTTATTTCTCCCCCCCAACCCCAACTCACTTCAGACGTCTCTAAGAGCAAATTGGTAAAAGGAAAGAACAGACTACGGCTATCCTGGCTCTTAACTGGATGATCTTAAAACTTTAAATGCATCTAGTCCTAGTTTGCTGAGGTCAAGCCAGTTTAAAGGCTGAAGGCAAAATAAAACAATTTAACCAAATGGGCGTTCCCCCACCCTCTGGGCATGGAGCAAGAGATGGGAAACCAAAGCAAACGCCATCCGATAAATGCTTGTTTTAATTAGGGCTTCTCTTTCTCCCCCTGTTTTTTTTTTTCTTTAGTTGTGCTTTCAGGTCACGGGGGAAAAATAAAAAATAAAATAAAATAAAATAAAAAACTACAGCTAGCTCTTCTGCTCGGTTAAAACCGTATTTCCTTTTTTTTTCTTGCCAGCCTTGTGGTGCAATTACCCTCGGACCAACCTTTACAAAACCCGTTTTTGCTCATTGCAAGACACAGTACTTTTTGTAATCGGACTCAAAATCTTCATCCATGCTACTGGTATCCGCCATATTCTTGCCCTCAATCTTTGGCAAAAATTGTGCATAGTCCACTCCTTGCTGTTCGTAGAAAAGGATGTAGGCAGAATCTGCGTCGATTTCATCGGTATGCAATTCCTGGATGATGGAGGAGGAGGAGGAGGAGGAGGAGGAGAGAGGCTCATTAGGGAGCAGTCCTCGAAGTAATACAATATTACTCCAAAATTTAAAATTTACAAAATGTTGAGAACTATTGAAACTCTTATCCTAATACTACTGGAGACTGTTTGGCATCAGGGGGGCTGATATAGCAGCTTATTATAAGGACACTGCAGGAATTAGCAACTTTAATCTAGTTAGTTAAGGGCACCTGGCTAAAAACTGGGATACTAGGTGTTCTACTCCAACCTTAGACATGAACGTCAGCTGAGTGACTTTGGGCAATCAACAGGAGACGGTGAGTTCTAGTCCTGCCTTAGACATGAAAGCCAGCTGGTGACTTTGGGCCAATGACCAGGAGACAGTGAGTTCTAGTCCTGCCTTAAGACATGAAAGCCTGTTGGGTGATTGTGGGCCAATCAACAGGAGACAGTGAGTTCTAGTCCCACCTTAAGTATGAAACCCAGTTGGGTGACTATGGGCCAATCACCAGGAAACAGTGAGTTCTAGTCCCACCTTTTCTAGTCCCACCTTAAGTATGAAAGCCAGCTGGGTGACTTTGGGCCAGTCCCTCTCTCTCAGCCCAACTCATCTCACTTTGAGTTATTTGTAAAAAATAATAAAGGTGGGATATAAACAAACAAACAAACAAATCCTGTTGGAAATCTTGGGAAATGGCAGGATGCAGAATAATAACACTGATACATCGCCTGGAAGAACGCCCAGACTCAGCTAAGAGGTCTGGAATATCCTAAAGGAGCACCACAATTACCTGAAGTACAGAGGTGGGGAACAACGGCCCTTTTATGATTCGTGGACTTCAACTCCCAGAATTCCTGAGCCAGCCATGCTGGCTCAGGAATTCTGGGAGTTGATGTCCACGAGTCATAAAAGGGCCCTGGTTCCCCACCCCTCATCTAGGCCAACATGTCTCAAATCCACAAGGGGCCACCACCAACTTCCAAAACGGAACAACGCAACTGGAAGAGTGCCTCAATTGAGACCGACAATTGACCAGCACCCAGAAACAGGCTGCTGTTACACAGGTGGGCCAAAGTAAATTGTTGTTAGCCTCCAATGTTCTCAAATTTCGCTAGCTAATTTCCTATGGGACGGATGCTCTCCTCAGGCCTTTTCCGTCCTTCCCCTCCAGCCAGCCAAGGGGTTTACCTTACAGCTGCTGTCGTTGTAACAATACCATTTGTCGTTTGGGTTTTTGGCATAGGTGACGTAGTGACCTCCTCCCATAATTCCTGAATGGCACTGGAAGAGAAGAGATCGGAAGACACCAAGGTTATCCCATTGATTCAAGGCCTCCATCCTTAATTAACCCGGTGTGACAGGAGAGATACTATTTTAGAAGGCCGTACAGTTAGTAATAATAATAATAATAATAATAATGATAAAGTTGGAAGGGACTTTGGAGGTCATCTAGTGCAACCCCCTGCTCAGGCAGGAAACCCTATACCATTTCGGACAAATTGATGTCCAGTTTCTTCTTAAAAACTTCCAGTGTTGGCGCATTCAAAGCTTCTGGAGGCAGGTTGTTCCACTGGTTAATTGTTCTAACTGTTAGGAAGTTTCTCTTTAGATCTAGGTTGCTTCTCTCCTTGATTAGTTTCCATCCGTTGCTTCTTGTCCTCCCTTCGGGCGCTTTGGAGAATAGCTTGACTCCCTCTTCTTTGTGGCAGCCCCTGAGATATTGGAACACTGCTATCGTGTCCCCCCTCGTCCTTCTCTTCATTAAACTAGACATAGTCCTCAACTTACAACCACAACTGAGCCCCAAATTTCTGTTGTTCAGTGAATTTTGCCTCAACTTTACGAGTTCCCTTGTCACAGTTGCTAAGTCAAACACTGCGGTTTGTTAAGTTGATAACACAGTTGTTAAGTGAATCTGGCTTCCCCATTGACTTTGCTTGTCAGGTGATCATGTGACCCCCAGAACACGGCAACTGTCATAAATGTGAGACGGTTGCCAAGCATCTGAATTTTGATCATATGACCATGGAGATGATGCAGTGGTCGTAAGAGTGAAAAATGGTTGTAAGTCCCTTTTTTCAGTGCCGTTGTAACTTCGAACGGTTACTAAATGAACGGTTGTAAGTCAAGGACTGTTATCTTCTCCAAGGTGCTTTTCCCAAAAGGCAACTGGACTTTCTTGAGTTTTTTTTTTTTTTCTTTCTTTGAAAACATTTCGCTTCTGATCGAAGAAGCTGCTTCAGTTCTTGGATGAGAAGTGAAACATCTTCAAGGAAAAAAAAAACCAAGAAGGTCCAGTTGCCTTTTGGAAAGTATCTGCTCTGTCCCAGCCTGTGTGAGTCCTTGTTAAGCTCACAAGGAGAAGCCCCTCTTCTAACAAGCAAGCTGGAACCACAGGAAAAAACCAATCCCCTTTTATTATTCACAGACCTGAGTCAATGTCCAAGGCAAACAAAACACAATCCACAGAAACTCGATCCTCAACACAAATGGTTGCCTTCGGCCACCAGCACCTCCCACACCTTATTATGCAGCCCAAGGCGTGGCTTCCTAATGCCTTCTCCTTTGCCTTTGGAGCCGCCCCATTGCATTCCTCTGTCCTACTCTCTTTTCTTGCCGGCGTTTTCGTACATCCTGGATATCTCCCAGCTGTGATTCATCACTGTCCAACTCAAGACTCCCAGCACAGCTGTGTCTCAGCCTGAGTGCCAGTAGAGGGGCCAGGCTCCTCGTCAGACTGTAAGTCTTAGAGCTCCTCAGAGCCTTCCTCTGACTCTGATGTCACTCCAGGCCCCTCCTCCTCTGATTCCCCAGACTCAGCTGCCGGGTCCACTGGCTGGCGAGGAATCACAAAAGTATCTTTGGGACAAACATGACCTGGATGATTGAGAATCTCCGTAGACCTTGCATCTTAATAATAATAATAATAATAATAATAATAATAATAATAACAACAACAACAACAACAACAACAACAACAACAACAATAATAATAATAATAATAATAATAATAATAATAATAATAATAATAATAATAAAGTTGGAAGGGACCTTGGAGGTCATCTAGTCCAACCCCCTGCTCAGGCAGGAACCCTACATCATTTCAGACAAATGGCTGTCCAGTCTCTTCTTAAAAACTTCCAGTGTTGGAGCATTCACCACTTCTGGAGGCAGGTTGTTCCACTGGTTAATTGTTCTAACTGTCAGGAAGTTTCTCCTTAGTTCTAGGTTGCTTCTCTCCTTGATGAGTTTCCATCCGTTGCTTCTTGTCCTGCCTTCAGGCGCTTTGGAGAATAGCTTGACTCCCTCTTCTTTGGGGCAGCCCCTGAGATATTGGAAAACTGCTATCATGTCCCCCCTCGTCCTTCTCTTCGTTAAACTAGACATACCCAATTCCAGCAATTGTTCCTTATATGTTTTAGCCTCCAGTCCCCTGATCATCTTTGTTGCTCTTCTCTGTGCTCTTTCTAGAGTCTCAGCATCTTTTTTACATCGTGGTGACCAAAACTGGATGCAGTATTCCAAGTGTGGCCTTACCAAGGTTCCTCAAGACCCAGCAGCCTTCAACAAACCTGCTGACCCGTAGGCAAAGAACGGCCTTGATGAGCAAGAGTGCTTGGGGAGATGGTCTTCCAGCAGCTGAGTGATGCTGGAGAAGACCTGCCTCCAGAAGCGGTGAATGCTTAATCCCCAAGGTTAAGAAATACTACACTGTTAATCATACAGAAAGGGCAGATGGACTAATTGCAAAACCGGACAGAAAACCCATTCCTTGCATCCCGATCAGCTGATAGAAATAATCATGGCGACTAAATCTGGATAGAAACTGCTGGACCCTCTCCTCTTCCTTTTGGGGGTGCTTTAAGTGCACCCCTCTGATAACCCATTTCATGCAACGGCTCGGCCTAAATCTGAGCTGGGGAGAAAAAAAAAACCCCTGATCCGAGGCTTCATCCAGATGGCCACTGTTGCCTTGACACTTACCGAAATTGCATATAAGTTGTAAATGGGATTAATACAGATTTCTCCTCTTTGGTCATCGGCCAGTTCCTCTTCCCGGCGGGCTTCCAGTGGACCGTTGAGACTGTGGTTGCTGGGCGAGCTCAGCTTGCAAAGGTATCCGTTGGTTAGCTGCCCCTCATTGTCCTGAGCAGCCACCGGCTCGCCTGAACCGTCCCCCAAATTCTGCTGCTGCTGCTCCCTCCCCGGGGAGTCAAGCGTGGCCTTTGGATCTGGCTGGGTACCGTTCTCGCGACTTGCGTCCAGGTTTTCTTTACTGCTCGACAGTTTGTTTTTACATAGCTGGGGGAGCCGGAGGCGCCCCTTACTTCTGCCCGTAGTCCTGGGGCTACTGGTGGGACTAAGGTTTTTACCTGTCGAAGAGCTGGACGTGCACTTCCTCGTGGAGGACGGTGACGCTGGAAAGAAAGAGACGGGTGAGTGCTTTGCAGGTGAATCAAGTGTTTTCCAACCTTGGCTACTTTTAAGAGGTGTGGACATCCACTCCCAGAATTCCTCAGCCAGCCTCCAGTCCCCTAATCATCTTTGTTGCTCTTCTCTGCACTCTTTCTAGAGTCTGAGTCCTTACACTGGTATCCTTCCTTTGACTGCGGATTGAAAGCTGACTGGGAAGGTTGCAAATTGCGATTAAGGGACCCCTAAGACAGGGGTAGGCAACCTTGGCTCTTTTATGACTCGTGGACTTCAACTCCCAGAATTCCTGAGCCAGCCACGCAGAGGAGAAAAGGGAGAGGTTTCCAAGCTGAGCCATGCCGGCTCAGGAATTCTGGGAATTGAAGTCCACGAGTCATAAATGAGCCCAGGTTACCTACCCCTGCCCTACACGAATGCTCATTAAGTCAAGGACTATCTGTAGGCTGGCTCTGCAGATCCCAGCATGCCTAGGAGGCTGACTTAGCATCTCTCTGAATTAAGCTGTACTCAAAGGAGGAACTACTAATTTGGGACCCCAACCGTCCATTGCCATTCGTACCAAAACGGGTCTTGGACCCCACCACTCAGACCAGGCATTTTAACTTCCGGTCACCACACATGGGCTGAGAGCCCACCGGTTTCTTCTCCACGGGGGACCCTCCGCGATTCTGCCCTTACCTCACTGTTGTACAGCCACAGGCGCATATCCTCCTCTTTCATCCTCAGCCGCTGGGACAGGTATTCGTGGATCTCCTTGACGGTCTGGGTGCGGCTAAAGCAGCCGGTGTAGGCCAAGACCCTCTTCAAAGGCGCGCTGGGAGAAGGGACGTTCCCTAAGTTCGCAAGCAGAGAGAAACAGATGTTAAGAGCCGAAGGAAGGGGCAAGGTACGGTCGGGCTCTTGCAAACTCGGCGACTTTAAGACTCGTGGACTTCGACTCCCAGAATTCCTCAGCCAGCATCGCGATGCTGGCTGAGGAATTCTGGGAGTCGAAGTCCACGAGCCTTAAAGCCGCCGGGTTTGCGGAACCCCGCGCAATAGTGTGCAAATCAATGTTCTTGGGTCGGTCTGGACTTGCTGCTCTTTTTAGGTGTTGTTCGGCTGACCCCTCTTGCTAAATTAAGAGCCCGAAGCAAAAGCGGGCAGAAAACACAGAGACAGAATGGCTAAAAATCTCAATAGAGGAAAAATGGGCTAAGTGAAAATATTGAGCTGATACCTCTTTGGTCCGGGAAGAACAAATGCAGGTGGCAAAAAAATGGGATCATTTCCAGGTATCGAGGCGACAGGTGTAAAAAGGGTTGGGTTGGTTCCCTTCCGGTTCTTCCCCAACCTGGGTTGATCCTCTCAGGAGCCTTTTCATGAAACTGGAGCAGCCGAAGAGGACAAATTGCACCTCTTCCTGTGTCAATCTGCGTTCTCCTGATGGCTGCCCTACCTGAACAATGTCTTGCAGCAGCCTGAGGATTTTAGAGCAGAATAGAGCTGGAAGAGACCTTGGAGGTCTTCTAGTACAGCCCCCTGCTCAAACAGGAGACTCTATGCTATTTCAGGCAAGTGGTTGTCCAATCTCTTCTTAAAAACCTCCAGTGTTGGAGCATTCACCGCTTCTGGAGGCAGGTTGTTCCACTGGTTAATTGTTCTAACAGTCAGGAAGTTTCTCCTTAGTTCCAGGTTGCTTCTCTCCTTGATTAGTTTCCATCCGTTGCTTCTTCTCCTGCCTTCGGGCGCTTTGGAGGCTATCTTATTCCTGTTTAGGGGTCCCCAAGCTGGCCCCCTCCAGGTGGGTTGTCCACAGAAGGAAACCCTTTCAGATATTGGCCACCATGATGAAATACCGGTTGTCCTTGACTTTCAACACTTCATTTAATGACTGTTCGAAGTTACTACGGCACTGAAAAAAGCGACTTATGACCATTTTTCACATTTACGACCGTTGCAGCGTCCCCATGGTCATGTGATCCAAATTCAGACACTTGGCAACTGACTCATAGTTAGGATGGTTGAAATACCCTGGGTCCACGTGATCCCATTCTGTAACCTTCTTATCAGCAAAGTCAATGGGGGAAGCCACATTCTCTGAACAACCGTGTTGCTAATTTAACAAGGGTAGTGATTTACTTAACAACTGTGGCACGAAAAGTCATAAAATAATAATAATAATAATTTAATTTATACCCCGCCCTTCTCCTCATAGGACTCAGGGCGGGGTATAAAATGGGGAAAACCTCACTTAACAAAGGTCTCACTTAGCAACAGAACTTTTGGGCTCAATTGTGGTCATACAGGACTACCTGTAGCACAGGTCAGGGAAAAAAAAACCTATTGCCATCCAGAAACAATAGTTTCATTTCATTTCATGTATATGTACCCCAGCTTTATCATTTTTACAAATAACACAAGGAGGCAAGTATATCCAACGCCTGTCTCCTGCTTGAGCAACTCCTGAAGGCAGGTAGTTCCAGTGGTTAATTCTTCTGTCAGGAAAATTCTCCTTAATTCCAGGTTGCTTCTCTACTTGATTGGTTTCCATCTATAGTTTCTTGTCCTGCCTTCTGATGCTTTGGAAAATAAGTTGACCCCCTCTTCTTTGTGGCAGCCCCTCAAATACTGGACTATTGCTATCATGTCATCTCTAGCCCTACTTTTCTCTAGACTGGCCATACTCAAATCCTGCAACAGTTCTTCATATGTTTTAGTCTTCGGGCCTTTAGTCTTAGTTGCTCTTCTCTGCTCTTTTTCCAAAGTCTCAACATCTTTTTGTGTAGTGTAGTGACCGAAACTGGAGGCAGTATTCCAGATGTGGTCTTATAAGGTTTTATAAAGTTTTCCCTTAATTAAAAGTAACATTTTGAAATGCTAGGCATCTCAGACACTCCAGCAGGAATTATTACATCCTATCTGCTTTATAAAAAAAGAGATCAGAGCACAAAACAGTAATTCTTCCTGCAGATTTTGTTATTTAGAGATAAGGCTTAATTACTATTTTTTTTGGGGGGGGGAGAGGTTTACAGCCTATTAGGGTTATTGAGGCTCCATATCTGAGGGTTGCGGTGTAGAAGGAGTGGGGGGGGAGGGTGGGGGGTCGAGGGAGGAGGGAGGTATTAGTACGGTCAGTGGGAGAGGCAGATATGGCGGGAGCAGAGGACCATATCAGGTTAGGGGAGCACGCACACGCTATTTACAAGCTTGTGGGTGCTCCGGTCCTCAGGTCTCCACTCGGTCTCCAGGAGACTCAGNGCAACAACAGCTTCTTATTAGGTAAGACTTGGGCTATTCTGCAAAAAAACCCAATCAGGCTGGTTGCTTTCTCTTATCTCAAGCTACCTCACAGGGCTGTTGTAGAGAAAAAGGAATGCCTGGCGATATTTTTGTATCCCACCTTCATTATTTTTTAGAAATAACTCCAAGCTGCAAACATCTCCAACATACTTTCCCCCTCCTATTTTCCTCACAACAAGATCCCTGTGAGGTGGGTCGGATTGAGAGCAAGTGACTGGCCCAAGATCACCCAGCTGGCTTCCATGCCTAAGGCGGGACTAGAACTCACCTTCTCCTGGTGACTGGTCCAAAATCACCCAGCTGGCTTTCATGGCAAAGGTGGAATTAGAACTGGGGGTCTCCGGGTTTCTAGCTGGTGCCTTAACCACTAGGCCAGGGGTAGGTCAAGGACTGTCATAAGTCAAGGACTACCTGTACCTTGAACTCTCAAGCTTCTTCCTTCTGTTATATATTCAAAATAGACAGTGTTTAATATTTATGTCTTATGTATATGTAGGGGCGTGGGTTTATACCAGGGGTAGGCAGCCTTGGCTCTTTTGTGATTGGTGGACTTCAACTCCCAGAATTCCTGAGCCAGCCATGCTGAGGGGAAAAGAAGAGGTTTCCAAGCTGAGCCATGCTGGCTCAGGAATTCTGGGAGTTGAAGTCCGCGAGTCATAAAAGAGCCAAGGTTGCCTACCCCTGCACTAGGCCAAACTGGCTCTCTTGTAGATTATCTTGAGTGCCCAGAGGAAAAGTTGATAGATTAGATAGGTAAATTGGTGGGTAGGTAGGTAGATAGGAAAGAAGGTGATCTTGTCAGATGAGTTGAATAAGCAAAACGAGCTGAAACATTTTTTAAGTCCAGGATGTCCAGATAACTTGTGGAATTCATTCGGACAGACACCTTCCTAATTCAGTGATGTATAAGAGGGAGCACCTTCAGACCATCACGATTCTGTTGTTATAGCTAATCTCCGTACAAGCAGTTTTAGCTTTCCTGTGGGATTGTTGTCCTGCAATGTCTAAATCAGTGGTGGCGAACCTATGGCACGGGTGCCAGAGGCGGCACTCAGAGCCTTCTCTGTGGGCACGTGCACCGTCGCCCCAGTTCTAGGCCTTCAGCTGGGTTTTATAAAACCTTTTCGCTTTAGGCCTCCACCGCCGTGTACAAAAAAAAAAAGGTTCAATCAATCAGTCAATTTCAACTTCTCGCAGGGAAAAAAAAGATCTTGCAAAGTTGGAATTGATTGATTGATCTTTTTAGTCCTACCCAGTGTGCTGTTACCACCGCAGCCACGCCCACCCAATGGGCCACACCCACCCGGCACCCGACGATGCAGTTGGGTTGCAGTTTGGGCACTCAGTCTCTAAAAGGTTCGCCATCACTGGTCTAAATAGATTGTTGGACCTACTTAGTGGGGCTGACGTGGATGGATTGACGGGTGGATGGGCAGGAATTGGTTTGCTGGGGGTTCTCCTCTCTCCCTCCACGAGCACAAAGAAGTCTCCTTGGGATCGCTTCAGTGGGATGTTTGGAGATTGTGGGAATCTCAATTTAGGGAAAGGCCCTCGCTTTCACAAAGGAACGTCAGTTTCCTCCAAAAGATGCACTTTTGGAGTGGGTGGGCCAGGCAACCAAGCTATAACTCATGCAGAGACATAACTCTCGCCCTCTAGTGGTCAGTCCATATATTTACAACCTTTTAATGGCAGCCCCAGGTCTGGGTTGGTGTTCAGTTGCTAAGTCATGTCCGAATCTTCGCAATCTCATGGACACACACACCCCCACTGCAAGTCAATGATGTACATTAAATCCACCCCAAACAAACCCCTGTATGACTTAAGATGGTGTGTGAATGCAATCTCTGTGGCCTGTTCAACACACCCTGGCCAAAATAAGGAGAAATTTCCTGACAGTGAGAACAATTGATCAGTGGAACAACCTGCCTCCAGAAGCGGTGAATGCGCCAACACTGGAAGAGATTTTTAAGAAGAGATTGGACAGCCATTTGTCTGAAACGGTATAGGGTTTCTTGCCTGAGCAGGGGGTTGGACTAGATGACCTCCAAGGTCCCTTCCAACTTTATTATTATTATTATGGATCATCGCAGTCAGCCAGATGTTCAGACTGGATTTGGCATTTTGTTTACCTATCGAGTCCTTCCCAAGGACCTGGGATAGGCAGATGTGGATGTTTGATGGTATTACAGATCTCGTCGCAGGATGGAAGCAGTTCCTAGTAAGGCTGCCTTTTGCAATTTTTTTATTTTTTATTATTATTATTATTATTATTATTATTATTATTATTATTATTATTATTATTATTATTATTA